CCCGTTATTTAACCCCCCCCCCTCCCTCCGTGATTTATTCCAATAATTGAACTGCTACTCCTGTGGTCTTTTTCTTGCTTCTCGGTTACGTACGTCGTGTAAAAGCCAATGTGATTCAGTGTTTCAGTGGCGTCCGTGATCTGATTTCTGCGTACTTCAACCATTGCACTGACACTGTTTCTGTTTCCACAATTTAACCATGAGACTGTATTCAATTATGCCGCCAGACAACAAAAACAACAAAAACAACAACAACGAAACTCAGGTTAAACCACATTGACTGCATTCTTCCTATTTGACCGAAGTGCTTGCTATTGAAGCAAACTGAAGACATACGGTCCTAGGGACGATGTGGTTAAAAAACATATAGTCAAGCTCTATTCCCGGATGTTCAGTAAACGGATGTTATTTTTCTACAACATACGCATGAGTGGTGAATTGTACTGCAGGTAAACCCTCTGATCTACTGTACAGTCTCCATAACCGACAATAGTATCAGAGGGAAGGCTTGGAACAGGGGACTACACAAACAGGCATCAGGATGGGAGTAGTGGTAATAGTAGTAGTAGTAGTAATAGTAGTAGTAATAGTAGTAGTAGTAGTAGTAGTAGTTAGTGTTATGAGACACTACTCACTTGTGAGTAGTACGCAAAAAGATGCGATCAGCGGTTTCTTTCAACGACCAAAAATCAACAAGACCTGTTGAAGCAAACTGCTGACGTTCAGTATGATGAATACAAGAATGCGCATCTAATGGTGACTCGTCCATGAACCATCCCGTGTGCGTGTGGGAACTCTGCAACCTTGCTCCAGATGAGATATTTTGTTATATGAACGAAAATTTAACCATATCTCGAACGCTATTGGCAATAAACAACTAATTATGACCAGCACCGTCTTGTGGAGTTATAACAATTGGTGCCGTCACCAGAATCAGGATGAAGACGTACGGATATTCCTGTAGGAGTTTGAGGATGTGGCGGAGCTGGCCGGAATACGAACGGGTCGCGGCAAGTTGACGGCCCTCCGAGCGCTTCTCAAGGGCCGTGCACGTGCAGTATTGGACGCGGCATGAAGATTCCCGGAGAAGATGGAGTGGGCCGCCGCGAAGGACGCACTGATCGCGGGCTTTGACACTCCGACCGTCCGCCAGGAGGCATTCCGTCGCTTCAAGGCCCAGCTCGGAGTCGGCGTGGACCCACTTTCGCGTGCTGTGGCTTTGCGTGGGCAATGGGATCGCGCACTACCGACATTGGATGAGAATGTGCGCTTGGAACTACTGCTTGACCGTTTCACAGAGAGCCTCCCGGAAGACATACGCGAGAAAGCGAAACTCATCAATGTGGCATGTACCGTGGACGTAATGAGGGTAACCGAAGTTGTGAGGCAGTTCATCGGTCAAGAAAGTTCCGCGGTGCGAACGCAGGATGTCCATAATGATAAGCAACCAGAAGACGTGAAGACCACATTGGACAGACTGACGGATGAAGTGGCGGCACTTAAATCAAATTTCGGACGGAAGAAAAACACAAATGTATGTTTTCATTGTGGCAGGCGAGGTCATTGGCGGCAAAATAATCAATTCTTCTCAAGTACACGATTGATTCCGTACACGCGTTTTCTCTCGAACAAAGCAATCATTGGAGCAGTAGATTGGGGGCAGTAGAGGCCAATTTGGAGATCGAGTGGCACAGAGAACTATGCTTGATCAATACAGGTGCGGCAGTGTCTTTGGCTAGACCCCAACTAAACGAGCTCCTGGAAATGTGGAATACAGCTGTGAAAACAGTCGGGGGTTACCAGTTGAAGGTAGACGGAGTAGCCAAACGGACGTTGCGCGTTGGAAATAGTATAATTAAGCACCCATTTGTCATAAAAGACACGAGCCAGACTATAGTAGGGGCAGACATCTTACGTAGTTTAAGGGCCATGGCTGATCTGAACAACGAAAAGCTTGTTACCAAATCTGGCACGATCCCTCTGTTACGCTCCAAAAGGAAGGGGTTGGTAACCGTGAGCACAAAAACAACTCACACGAATGTGTCTCCTTCATTTCGGTCAGTGGTGCAACAATACTCCCACCTGTTCACAAGCGATGATGACCCGTACGGGTTCTGTAACTGGGTCGATCACGAAATCCCAATAAAGGAAAATTTCGAGCCCATGTTTCACGTCGAATTCCATTACACTTGGAGGATAGAGTCAAGCAACAGGTCGAACAAATGTTAAAAGAATGAATCATCGAAGAAACTCGAAGTCTGTATAACTCGCCCGTGCTGCTGGTCAAAAAGCCCAACGGTAAATTTCGGTTCTGTGTGGATTTCCGCCAAGTAAACACTGCGACTATAAACAAGCCAGTCCCAGTCCCGACTGTGGCAGAGATTTTTGACCAACTGCAAAGCACGAAAGTGTTCTCAGTTGTGGACCTACGATCGGG